ATATTTCAGGCACGATAAATAATATTAAAATATATTTATGTACAAAAAAATGGAATTCACTGTGAATCCCGCGACGAATGTAGTAACAATTGGCCATAAAATATACTATATTGGCAGAATCAATGTGGACAATTTTAAATTTTCATATGTGTACCTTAGTCCGTGTTTCGGAACTCCGTAATATTTCAGGATAGATAAATGTTGTTAGATGACATTTATGTAAAAAGATGGAATCATTGTTAACACCGCGACGCGTAGAATAATATAAGAACATAAAGTCGCTATGAACTATTGACAGAGGAAGTATGAAATTTATGAATGATCATATGTGAGCCTCATACCACGTAACGGAAGTATGTAAAGTTTTAGCTCGATAAATAAATCGAAGATGAAGTTTATATACATAAAATAGTGTTTTTTGTGAGCCACGCTTTGCGTACTATAATATAAGTTAATGAAATCGATATCATATATCGACAGAATCAATGTAAATAATTTTTAAGTGTCATATATAAACCTCATTCCATCCTCCAGAAATCAGTAATATTTGAGACTTGATAAATAATATTTGATGATACTTAAGAAGTGGTGTTCATTGTGAAACCCGCGATGGGTTGAATAATATAAGACCATAAAATCTATATAATATATTGACAGAATGAATGTGGAAAATTCTGATTGGTCATTATTATCCTCGCATAACCTACCAGAAAACCGTAATGTTTCAGTTTTGATTAGCAATACTACATGAGATTCAAATACAAAGCAGTAGGGTTAATTGTGAACTCCGCGAAGCGTACCATATAATAAGATAATAAAAAAGATATGATATATTGCCGAAATAAATATGAAAATTTGTGAAGTGTCATATGTACACCTCATCCAACGGACCAGATATCCGTAGCACTTCAGGTTTGGTAAAAATGTCAGATGATATTTATGTACAAAATGGTGTAGTTCATTGTGGACTCCGTGTGGCGTGGAATAATATTATTCGAAATTTATATATAGAGGGAATGAATGTGGATAATGTTGAAGCGTCATGTATAAACCACATTTCATGTACAGGAACACAAAAATATTTCAGGATCGAAAAATAAAGTTATATGATATTCATGTACAAGTGCATGGTGTTCATTGAGAAGCCCACGATGCGTAGAATAATATAAGACAATAAAATCGGTATATTATGTTCGGAGAGTATTATGGAACATGTTGAATCGTCATATATAAAACTCATTCCACGTACCGGAACCCATTAACTCTTTGCAGTCCGCGCTACATTCGCAGTTTCGTACTAGCCGGTCCGCGCTGGATTCACAAGTTCGTACCAGCTGGTCCGCACAGATTTCACTAGTCGCTTATCCGCTTGGTAGCGTTTAT